GATACTGTGTTGCAGAAGATTGATGCAGCTATCGGAAACGAGATCGGCGACTGCGACTCTCTGCTGGCAAAGTATCAAGATATAAAGTAGTTACGCTACATTTTTTGCTTCACAGTATCTAAAAATTTGTTAAGTTCTTTCTTTGGAATGCCGAAAAATAATAATTTTCCTTCTTCTTAATTAAAAAAAATATTGTTATAAAAAATATATATTTTCTAAGCGCGATGCGAAAAAAAATCATATATGTAGATGATAAAATTATAAACATAGCTGTCTTAGCATGTACCGTCGTACATTGAGTTACTATATAATTACTAAACATTTACACACTTGAAGATTGAATAAAAAGATACTAAAATAAATCTAAAATTGTTACTAATTTTCAAAAAAAAAAAATCATTATATTCAAGTCTTTTCTTCCTATTTAAAGTTAATTTTTTTTGGATTTTCTTTTAATGTTATGATTTCTTCAAATATTCTTTCATTATAGATGTAGTATGCCAGCCATTTCTCTCAAGTTCAAGGTAAATATTCCTTCTGTATCTATCCATCCATCTCTGTCAGCCATGGGACCTGTAAAGGGCCCGAAACTTTTGTTTATTAAAAAAAATGCGCGATTTAGATCTGAAAAAATTGTTTCATTTGCCATGTGCAACAATCGCGAAAACCTAAGTACTCGATATATGTGTATAGCAATATATATATATATATATATGTGTGTGTGTGTGTGTGTGTATATATTGCTTATTTGATTAGAGAAAATCAAGTAAAAGTTGTAGCACGCTGTGACGACTCTATCAAATTCTCATCCTTGTATTATTCATTGAAACTAGCTTTAAAATCAGATAAATAATATTGTTGAAAATGTTCACGTTTGTATTTCATACCAGTAAATAAAAAAAGTGCAAACTGTATTTAATTGTTTTTCACCAAGTTTGGTTTTAATTAAAAAAAAATATATGAATTCTCATTTTATATAATAGTAATCGTCTGTTTTTTTATCGTTGATTAATAAATTTTAAGTGGTGTTAATAGTAGAGACGCTTAAAATAACACGTCATGATAGGCGCACCCGCGTTTGCTTTTATGGGCCATGTGATATCACGCGATAAGCTCTCTGAGTGCTTTGAACCAAGTGTGTGAGTACTTACCGAAAACTGTCAAATTTTATTTAAATTATTCAAAAAGACATTATCTTTGTTATGAAAGGTTTCCTATTATTAATATATGTTATACTTAAACAAAATACTGGATAGTTCAGATAAAATTTAGTTAGGTTACTGTTTTGGAAATCACTCAACCGTGTGTCAAAGCAGTATCGTTCCGAAGTTGCAGCGAGCAGATGCTCTTTGAAATCAAATAGCCTCATCTAAGTTTACATTACACTTTCTCAATTAAAATAAACAATCGCACCGCGTCTCTTCACTTTATTTTCTATTAAACGAAAATATGAGATAATATAAGTTAGGTAACTGTTCGACTACTTGTTTAAATTCTGTTATTTGGATTAAAATAACAAGATTCTTTTGACTACGTGAATATCTTCGAACAGTTTTTTTTATAATACCAAGTAACGGAACGAACAAGTCGCAGGCCTGGTGGTAAGCGACACGCGCTTCCATAATGGGCATTGTAATGTCACTTAGAGCTTCGATAAGATCTGAGGTACACTGCCGACGTGCTGGTCACCCTAAGACAGTAGTTGACAAGTCCCATGTGCCTGTTATTTCACCAGCACCTCATCCTTCTAAAACGGAACGCAGTAATGCTCATACTACTGCCTGGCTGCAGAAATAGGTAAGGTAGCAGTACTTTTTTGAAAGAAATCTTTCACTTACTGCTACTAAAACAAAAATATAATATAGCTCTACTGCTACTAAATTGTGACCATCTACAACAAGCAGATTTTATAGTAAAGGCCAAGTGTGCACGTAGAGCTCTAATATAGTTCTCGGACAAAACACAAGTTTTTGGGAAAATGTGAACAAAAATTGCTAATAGAACACAAAACAACTTTTGAACTGCTACATCAGTGTCCATAATTAAATTCGAGCTCGCTTCAAACTTTCCACCTCTGTCATAGTTTAACGAAATTACAAACTGGCTACATAAAAGTAGAGTTATTAATACTATGGACACAAGGTTCAATATTACACAACAAAATGTTTTATAAAGCTAAAACCACAAATGCAGTTCAATCTAAATTTAAATTCTCGCTTCTTGTTCCATTTTTGAAGTCAGTTGATTATGTCCTAGTTATTTCCTGAATTAATAAAATGAAGGTTAATTTACGAAAATAAAATTAAAATGGTTTAGTTATGTTGTACGTATACGTTTCACGTATTACAATTAATTATTTTTATTTTTGTTCCAGGTATATAACAATATGTCCGCCGGGTAAATATCGCACTAGATTATGGTGAGGCAAAATTAAGACAAAAGCTCGCTTTGTAGTGCTTTTTGATTTAAAAAATAATATAATTAATTTTAATTACCGCTTTTCTTTAAGTTGGTAACTCAATGGATAGTATTGAAAACTGGTAAGGTTATTTCGATATTATTCGTAAAGTAAGTTAAACGAGAATTTTGCTAGCGGCCTCGGTAGCTCAATGTTTTGTAATGTGGGCGCTGGTCGAAGAGGCCTCGGATTCGATTCCCAGTACGAGCAGTTGGGGAAATTAACTTTTTCTGAATAGGTTTCTTAAATAGCAAAGATTAGAAGGGCACTGCCGTTGCGCCCGTAACCCTGGAACTTAAGTTGACTAGTCCAAGTGCCTGTAATTTTACCAGCACCCTTGCCTTTCAAAAACGGAACACAGTAGTGCTGACATTACTGCTTGGAGGCAGAAATAGGTAAGGTGACAGTACTACCCTTTTCTTTTTTCTTTTTTTTTTATCTCTGGGAAACGCGTTACGCGTACCGCTCGGCTCGGGGGGAGCTGCGAGCGGTTATGTGTGACTCCCGGGCTCTAGCCCGATATACACACTAAAACCCAGCGGTTAACCCCCACCGCCATAGCGAGGCGCCCCTGGATCCGCTTACGCATACTACAGGAACGCCTCGGAGGATGGTCCGCGTGAGCGGACCCCGGCCTTCAGAGAGTGCCCCGGGACAACACAAAGGCACCCTCACACTTGTGAGCACAGACTTGGAGATAGGGTCCCCCGACCCCTGACCCACGGCTCACTACAGCGGGGGAAGAAGGTGAGCGTAGTGCCTCCGTCCTTCGTCTCCCCAGCCGCCGTCTTCGGAGCGGGTCAGCGAGGGGGTCGTCCTCTCTGAGACGTTCCGAGGCCTGCGGATCGCCCGCGAGAAGAGTGGCCGCCGTCCACGACACCGTGCGATAACCCCGGATCGCTCTCACTGCTATGACCCTCTGCGGCCTCCGCAAGAAGGGTTTAAGTCGAGCGGTGAGAGCTTCCACCCAAACCGGTGCGCCGTACAGGGCCATACTCCGGATTATTCCTTAGTACAGGCGCCTGCAAACCGAGCCTGGTCCGCCTACGTTTGGCAAGAGCCGTCCTAGGGCGGCAGCGGTACCCACCAGCTTCGGAGCGAGTTGGGCAAAATGCGTCCTGAAATTCCACCTCCCTTCCAGTACAAGGCCCAGATATTTCATCTGAGCTTTGACTGGGATCGTCTCCCCAAAAAGGGTGATCCTTGCCTCCCTAGGGCGACCTCTGCGCGAGCCATGGAATAGGAGGGCCTCCGTTTTGTGTATAGAGACCCTCAGGCCCAACAGATGGATCCATTCTACCACCAGAGATGTCACTACGGTGCTCAACCGCGCGGCCTCTTCATAAGTCCTGCCCCGAGCAGTAACGAGGGTGTCATCTGCGTAACAGATCACCCTCGTCCCGGGAAGGAGCGGACCGCGTAGGAGCCAGTCAAAGCCAACATTCCACAACATGGGGCCCAGCACGGACCCCTGTGGAACGCGTGGACGCGCCTCTGGTGTAGCCTCCCGTCTCTGCCCTCCCATAGAACCACCCTGTCCTGAAGGTACGCCTCCAAAAGCTTTCTGAGATAGGGAGGTACTCCATGATACAGGAGCGCCTCTCTCAGTGTCTCGAACGGAAGGCTGTTGAAGGCGTTCTTGACGTCAAGGGAAACAGCCATGACCACCTCCCCCTTATCCACGGCGTCTGTCGTGAGACTCTTCAGGGCATCCAGGGCGTCGACAGTAGACCGCCCCGCCCTGAAGCCGTACTGGGCTTTCGAGAGACCAGGCCGCACCTCCTCGAGGTGTCTAACGAGACGGTTAACGAGGACCCTCTCGAAGAGCTTGGCCGTCTCGTTCAACAGTACGATGGCCTGTAGGCAGAAGGCGAGTCGATTGGACGACCCTCCTTCTGCAACAGACACAGTCGGCCCTGCTTCCATTGTTCCGGTAACTGCCCGCTACGTAGGCACGTGTCGAACAGTCCCCGGAGCAGCTTATTTAGGTATTCCGCTGCTAAGTACAGCACCCGATTCGGAACGCCGTCCGGTCCCAGTGCGGTCTTTTGCCCCGTAGTCGGAACAGGGCTGCTGCTATTTCTCCCTCAGTAACAGAGGGGACCTGCGAGAGACCCTCCTCCGGTGAGGAGGGTGGGGCCATCTCCGGGGGAGAGTGCTCAGGAGGGTCTGGGAAAAGCTCCCCTACCACCCTTCGCAGGAGATCCGGGACCACGGTCTCCGTGATGGGAGCGCTTTGGGCACGGAGTTTCTTCCGCGCCGCACGAGACGGACGACCCCATGGATCCCGATTTAACCCAGACAGGATTTCTTCTCTTGCACGGGTTTTGGCCTGGCTTATTGCCAGCTGCAGAGACTTCTTAAGGCGGTATGTCTCCCACAGCTGGCTCTCTATGTCCGGGGCATGGCCGTGACGGCGTCGGCACCGGACGTAGGCTCTCCGGGCAGCATTCCAGTCCGCTCGGACTTTCGCGATCTCCTCCGACCACCAGTAGACCTGATGGCGGGGAGGTCGTCGCCGGACCCGGGGCATGGCCGCGTCTCACACTGCAGTTAGAGGAGTATGCAGGCGGCTCGCCAAATCGTCGGCGGTGACGCCCTCTCTCACTCCAGCAAAGAACCAGCGCTGTACTATGGCAGCTTCCTCGACCATCTCCCGGTCCAGCCAACTTAGCGCCCAGCGTGTGAAGCGATTCGGTCTACGAATCGGGGCGGAATGTCCAAGGACCGCGGAGACCTCGAAACGGATATATAGGTAGTCCGACAAGGTCTCCACGTCCTCCACCACTCTCCAGTTTCTGGTCCTGAGCGCGACCGCGGGAGTAGCGAACGAGACGTCCACTACGGACCCTCCCTGTTATCGCACACAAGTCTGAGCAGTCCCTCTATTCAGGAGGGACAAACCAGAGAGTATACTCCAGATCTGTACAGCACCACCTCGCGCGTCTGAGACGAGATTACCCCACGCTTGCGACTTCGCATTAAGATCGCCGAGGACAATAACTTGTCTTGGCGCTTGTCGCAACACCGCTGTCCTGACGGAGTCAAGAAATGTCTCAAACTCCGCCAGGGAGCGGTTGGGGGAGAAGTACGTTCCAATTATTATGTACTCCCCCCACCCAGTCACTACATACACTGAGCCCCTTTCCAGAGTGGTGAGAGGGGGGCCCATGCCGTTCCTCACGACCGCTATTAGGCCGTCCAGGCCCCCTGTCCAGTTTTCATGAGCAGGGATGTAATACGGCTCGCAGGTCACCACTAAGTCTATTTGCCACTGCGCCATGGACTGCAGGAGCAGATCTTGAGCTCCGGCGCAGTGGTTAAGATTCGACTGGAGAAAGCTAGTGTGTTGAGATGACATCATTCCGACATAATACTAGCCTCCTCCCGCGTCTGTTGGCGATCGACATTAATGGCGGTCTGACCGCTTTTCGTTTCATGGGAGGTGGTTTGCGGCTCCTCCCCCCCATGCGGTGGTCCGATGGACGTCCGGCGTCGGCACAGACCGCGCAGCGCAGCACGCCTTTGCAGTTGGAGGCCTGATGGCCCTCGTTGCCGCATCGAAAGCACAGGTCTTCACGACTGCTGCCCGAAGTACACATAGGCCTCGTATGGCCAAGGCCAAGGCACCGATAACAGCGGAGCGGGCGCTGCTCTAGGGCTTGTACCTTAGCAGAGCTCCAGCCGACCAGTATCCTCCCCGCTTCAGCCAGCGTCTTGGCTGTGCTTATTGGGCACTGCACTATCACAGAACCCATCCCGCCTGGGCCAGGGCGGATCTCCAGGACTTTGACCAGGTCTGTTGTGCACTGCCCAGTCCTTACCACCGCAGCGGCCACCTTCTGAGTCGTCAAGACCCGAGATGCGGATATCCGCAGTATTTGTGGGTCGGGTGACGCTGGCCAGTCCGTCAAGTACAGGGCGGAGCTGTTCCGCCAGCCGGTCGGCTGCCAGTGCACCCTGAGGTCGCGACAGCTCTAGTATCTGGCTCCTATCCTGGCTCTAATCTGGCCCCGGTGGCCGACTGGCGGAACTTGACACCCTCTATGCCTAGCCCCGCCAGGTCAACGCGTGCCTCCGCTTCAGCCAGCGCCTGCGCATAGGTCACGCCTTTCTGTGTCGCTTCAGGCAGCAGACTTATTACCACCGCGGCAGACTGCGGGGGCTTAAGTTTGGTCTTGGTTTTAGTTTGGTGTGCCAGTGACCTTGCTGGGTACAGGCGTGGCACTAGTGCCCTTGTCAGCTGAGGATTTCTTCTTTCTTTTCCTCCTCTTCTTCTTCTTTTCTATCGTGATCCAGTTTTCTTGGGCTACGGAGGAAGCCTCTGCTGCTGGGGAGGCATTCCCAGCTTGCAGTGGTCCAGGCACTAGCTTTCGTTGGCCACTGTTCGGCTTGGACACCACTGCGGGCACCACCGACACTCGTGTCGGTGGCTTTGGAGGCTTGGGCTTCGCCGGCGGTTTCACGGGCCTTTTGTCTACCAATGGAGAAAGGACCATGATTGGCCTAGCCTCATCCGCATCGGCTGTTCTCCGTCGGTCAGCCGCCAGAGGGGGGCGATGGACCACCGGAGGAAGCAGGCGCTCCTCGATCGCCTCAAGACGGGCGTTCACCATGGTGCTAACCGAGGTGATTATCGAGCGCTTCAGATCGTCCAGCATGTCCCCATCCAATAATAGCGGTCGAAGTGATGCTTCCGCGGAGGTCTCCAGCATAGAAGCTCGCATGGCGACCCGCATGTCTTGGAACTCGCGCCTGTGCGCGGCAAGGTCGGCTTTGAGATTTTCGACCTCCCTCTTGAGCCGACTGTCTGCTCTGAGACGACGTGCCTCCTCCGACTCCGTCCGCGTTGCCAAGGCTTCTAAGTTAACGGAAAAATTTGTTGACATTTTAATAAATGTAATGTAAAAATAAATAAATCGATCCTTGGGGGTCTCTGACCACCTCCACGGTGAGTTTTCTTATTTTTGAGTATCGATTATCACATTGTTAAATTTGATTATTTATTACAATTCTTTGAACGTCCTACATTTAATTTACTATTACTTTGGAATTGCTCGTGGTACTTATTCCAGACAAGCCGATAATTGCGAAACCTATTTCTTTATCATAATTGTCTTTTTAAAATTAACATTGAGATATTTAATAATCAACGAAGCCGCACCGCGCACGTCTCTATGCAGAGTTGCCAACTAAACGACTTTGTCCCTTTATGTGACATTTTGACATCAAAAACGTCTTTTATTTGTAGCGACAAAAATTTTGGTATTTTTTGGCGCGTATTTAATTAGGTTTAATCGTTTAAATTTTAACATTATTTATATTTTAATATTAAGTTGCATTTTGCCTGTACTGTGACCATAAAGTTCTGGCCAATCAAATGGACCTTCTGTTTAGTGATATTTGCATTAGTCTAGTTAGCAATACTTTTTAATTCATAAATTAGCTCAAAATGCCTGGTATTTCCTATTCAAGTGAGAACACTTTTATTTCTTCTGCGAGTGCTAATGATACAAACGCCGCCTGTGGGGCAGTAGATGTACTAGCACGATTGATTCGCTTACGGTTGTTGCATCGCTAAAGGTTTAATTGTGGGCGAATATTTTTCAACTGCTCTGATTTTATATTTAAAGTAAATAAACTCATGTATGTAGGCTTCTTAACCACCTTGTATATACATATACACATGTCACAATGTCTAAAAAAATATTTAGGAAAAAAAAAATTGTTTTTTGTATTCTATACCTTTTGTTATGTTTGATGTTGTTTATTTTGTTTTTATATTCAAGAGAAGAGAGCCTGAGAGGAGACCCGTGCCCAATGCTGGACACAGGTCTCCTCTCAGGCGAGGGCTTAGGCCGTAGTCCGAAACGCTGACCCAATGCGGGCTGGGGAGTTCACAAGTTTTTTGAGGGTTGTAAACCTTATTCGATGTGCAGATTTCATCATGATGTTTTACTTCACAAATAAAATTTCGCATATTAAGTACGAGAAACTCGGAGGTGCGAGCCCGGCGTCGAACCCACGGCCTCTGCTTGAGACGCTGTAGATCAAACCATTAGGCTACCAGGGCTTATTATGAAAACATCAATTAAGTGTAATTAATTCAGCTAATTCACAGGACAAGCTAATAAACACATTCACAAATACGGACGTCCTAAAAACAATGGGGGAAGTTTAAAAAAAGGCGGCCCAGACAGTCCTTCACTTTTTGCCTCTTCACAGGGCAACGCTACGTATTTGAGAAGAAAATTTTCGATGTTGAAAGACTTGTAAACAGGCGTATTATTAGCAATATACATTATATTAAAACCTTTGAACTGAGTTTATTACTTCAATTTTGCTTTAAATATAATATTCAGTAATATAATTTGTATATGTATTTGGAGGAATATAAATGTCGCCCTTGAAATATACGTTTAATATAAATTTAATATATACGTGGAGCGCATTATAAGTTTCCGGAATGAAAACAAAAAAATACCATAAATGGTCAGAAATGAATTTATTGTTTCTGAAACTATTCTCCATTAGCGTTAATGTACTTTATCATATGAATGAACCACTTTTGAAAACATTTAAGCCACTCCTCCGTGACAATCTCTGAAACATATTTTTCATACTCTTCGACAGCCTCTTCTGGTGATGAAAATCGTTGACCTCGTCGTTCTTAATTTTTGGAAATAAATAAAAGTCACATGGTGCCAGTTCGGGATTGTACGCGGGATGGCTCATAAGGTCAACGATGTTCACCTTCAAAAATTTATTTGTCTGTCTGGCCGTGTGAGAACTGGCATTTTCGTGGTGCAAGATGATACGGCGCTTACGGTTATTTTTACGGAGTTTACCAATCACTATTCACAGTACAACGATTCTCCGAAGCAACAGTAGCCACGTATCCTGTATTATTAAAAAAAGAAGCAAGCACTTTGGTTGGTTTCGGCTCATCTCGAAAGACCCATACGCTCGATTGCTGCTTTGTTTTAGGATCGTAACTATAACCAGAAAACAAATATGTAATGAGCACGGACACTTTCCGCCCCTCCCTAGCTTTAGATACATCACCACGCCCCGCACATTGACGGTCACATTGACTGAACGAGAACAAGGCTCTCGGCGAGCCGTTTTCGCGCTAAGACGGCTTTGATATTTGAATATAGTTTTCATTTATTCATTACGATATTTGTACGTTAATATATAACATCAGTGTACGTTAGTACTTATAATGGTCGTGAATTGTGCTGTGTCCGGCTGTTTATAACCAATCATCTAAACGGGATAAAAAGAGGAGTTTCTCTCTGTTTTTGAAAGATAAAACGTAGTAAGTAAATAAACTTATGTCTGAGTCTCATTCATTTATTGTTTTCTTTAGTGCAGAGTAATATATAATACAGATTTATTGTATCAATATAATAAGACGCCATAACTTCGTGAGCTAGACAATGGCTCTCGAATTTTCAATTTGTATTGCTGATAAATATTAGTAAAGAACATATCTAATTATTAACTAGATAATGAAAAAGTTGGACACGCAATTTCAAATACTTTGGTTACCCTATTTAAAGGTACCTGTCCAAAATATAACATTTTAAGTGCTTTTTATATTTTTAAATAAATCTTCAATATTATTCTAGTTAGTGAATTAATGAAAAATATAATATTATATCGATATAAATATGTAATGAACATGTGTAACTATTAAGATTCTATAATAGAATTATGGATAACAGATTCGTGTTACAATTTTCGCTAATAGTACGAGGAAGGGATGGGTAACCCTGCCACTTCTCGCACACATTTGCACGTGTGCAGATAGCATCTTGCTGTATGTAATATTAGTAGGTAAATAATTTTCAACCGTCGTATGGAGTGTCCGGGGTACACGTGTGTGTGTGTGTATATATATATATATATATATATATCATAGTACAGATAAAACAAGGCTCATCTAATTTTGCGGATATTGTCTGGACTGTTACATAGTGACATACGCTGCAATATCCCCGAAAACATATCCTCTAGGAAGGCGAAATTACAAACATCCACAAACATCCAAAAGGCCAAAATGGCGCTATGGTACTTTCGCCTTTCCAGAGACGATTCCAAGTTATCTACCCGTATTGGACCAGTGTGGTGGCCTTGACCCTCTTTTCAAAGAAGACCGTGCTCAGCAGTGGGATCTTATACTTCAGAAACTTTTTTATCGCAATCGGATGTATAGTAATGGAATGCATAAGAGACAAACAAACAAACAAACAAACAAACAAACAAACAAACGTACATACACTTTTTTATACAGAGCGTCTCACGGTTATAGGCCACTACTAAATATTGTAGGTAGGATATCATAATTTTACTTCATGGAGACATTGTTTTTTTTTTTAATTACTAATACTGCATTCAAAGACTTTTCTTATGTTATCTGCGGACGGGACGAACAAGTCGTGCACCTGGTGGCAAGCGTCACGCATGTCTACAAAGACCTGAGGGGCACTACCACTGCGCCTGTCACCCTGAGACATAAGTTGACAAGTCCCATGTGCCTGTCTTTTCACCAGCACATTACATTACCTTACCTTACATTTATTAGCATATTACTGCTAATAAAAAAAATTCTGACCTCATGTGGGTATCCAGCAGGCCAAATTTTATGATGTCAATCAAAATCGTTAAGTTCACCTACCCTCATTTCTTTAACATTTTTATTGCATACATATAAAGGATACTTTTCACCCTGCTGCAACTGAACTACTGTTCGTAGTTGGGAGAATCTACAACTAACCGTAGATTTAATGTACTCTGTGGAGTCCTATTTCGCCGTGTGCGCAATACCACTTGTGTTTTACTATGTTATTGTACTGTACTTAAACACTGGTCGGTGATAAATCAAGTGATCAGCATCGTAACTGGTAGTCTCCTCTGACCGCCACCGCGCCAACGGAACCCACGCGTTCCACCGCATTTGTCGAAGACGGAAATTGAGAAAAAGCCCTGCTAAGGACAACATACGTCACGAAACCCACTTCTAAGTTTAGTGTAGTATATTCAGTTGTTCAGCACTCGTTTTACCTTCCGAATCGTCCATCTCCAGACATTCCTGTACATAAAGTCCACTTTTCTTCTTAAGGGTCACAATAAAGGAACCACCTATCAACCGGCTCGTAAGGTAAAGGTAAATAATGTTTTACATTTCAATTTAGGAAAACGGTATTCGTACTTTTTTGGGGATACGAGAATGATTTAATAAACAAAAAAGCAATTTGACAATATGGACGAGTTCAATATATAAGCAACTACAGTTGGCAAAATAAAACTATAATAAATTTTCTAACCATCATAAAGTACACATAAATTTGACAACGCAACAATGATTTAAAACTTTCAGCGTCATTTTAGATTCATTCATTTTTGTAGAGATAACACGCTAACAAATTGGGATTCAACGACAAATCTCCAAGTTACATCCAATTATACCAATTGAAAATGCTTCCGCTAATTCACGCCTACATACACTAATTACGCAACTGAAACAAAAGACAAACGTAAAGTGTGTGTTTATAACACACACATGAACTGACACATTGAAGCAAAGAAATTTGAAAGGAATTTTTATTCTCCGCTTTTTTACTTGCGGACGGAAAAGTACGTCCTTAATTGCGGTTGGGTAGTTACATATGGTATGACGTCCCAGGTTACAGCTTTTGCCACTCGTGTGTTCATGCTAGGGTGGCACATAATTCTTTGACGTACCACTTGTTGTTAGAATACGGTAGATGTAATTTGAAACACAAAATAGTCTGAATCCACCTGTATACCTACTGCATTTTTGAAGTACTTTTGATGGAGAGAGTATTATGTCTTTAGGTAGATATGCTACTTTATACAAATA